TAACGACTCCAGCTGGAAAAGTCTCTTTAGGCAAAGTCTTTCTCTTAAAAATCACCATAGGCACCAGTTTCTGTTCATTTGCGTGGCAGCCAAGCACAACAGTAAACGACGCCTTTTCATACCCCATTGTGTGTATCGCTACCATGCTGGTCCCCTTCTTCTCCACTGTGTGATTCACCGGAGTGTCGAAAGTGAGCGGCACCTCGTCCATGTTGGTGATGTGGCTTGGCTGGATGCTTTTGTCGGCGATGTGTTTGCTGCAGTAGGAGTGGATGCTCGTCAGCTTTTCATTATAATCCGCCGGATTTGCTGAACTACTGTAGTCCTGGTCCGGATGGAAAAATTGCACTCATAGGCGTGTCTCTTTTTTTCATTGCATTTTCAGGGTTGTTATGACAACAATGTTCTGCATAAAGCACATACCTGTTCTTTTATACACAATCCACGCCCGCACTTCCGCCTTTAACGTTCTCATGGCGGTCTCAACAACGTCTGAAGTAACACATAGGGCGCGCCGCACATTTTGAGGGGAAAAAAAGGCATTTATATGCGCCTTGTAGTCGTGAAAATACGGTACTCAAAATGTGCTGGGTCATGTTTAAGCACACCATTTCACTTTTCTTTCACCAGTTCACAGCAGTTTTTCAGCAGTCCTCACTTTCTCTGCTTTCTTTTTCTCATCATCTCCTTCTTTCCCGTCGCCTAGCTTGCCACAGATTTGCCTGCTGTGTCTCAAAGTGGTTTGCAGCAGCAACCCTGACTGACATCTCATTGGCTTATTTGTATCATGTGCAGACTGGTCCCGGACGCTCCGAATGACTTTATCATACACACACGAGAAGCGGCACAAGTGACAATTAGACAATGTCATCGGACAACATACAGTAATTTATAAATATTTTGAATCAGGTTTTGGACGGATCCGAACCGCGGTCCGCTAATCCGTGCTCTCTGTTGTAGAGTATGGTAGTTTCAAACTTGGAAATGGAAAATGCTATGTATTTTGGTAGATTAATGGCCAGTATGCTGGCATGGTTAAGTGTCTATATCAGACATTTACATCAGTTAATAAGCTTGCCCTAACCCTAAATGTTCGACAACTTCAGCTTATTCAAATAGACAACGTTAAGCTTAAAGATGGCCCAGGAAGTCCTTACGCCCTTCAAATAAACAGAAATCAATAGCAACGTCATCGTTCTGTTCACATTATGCCCACCTTGGAGAAATGAATGTAAAACCCATAATTTTTTAATAAGGTTGTTTAGAAGGATTGGCAAAGCAATCAAAATATTTATTATCTATTCATGTATCTCTTCCGGTGTAATATATATAAGTGGAGTGTTGGCCTTGTGGTTAGAGCACCCGGTTCGATCCCCACGGCCTCCACTCTGGGTTTCTGAGCAAAACCCTTAACTCCTGATTGCTCCCCAGGTGCCACACAATGGCAGCCCACTGCTCCCCAATGGGATGGGTCAAAATGCTGTGAACGGATTTCCCCATTGTGGGACAATAAAGGGATTTATATTTTAATATGCTAACAAGTGGAAATTAGCTGCTTAATTTAGCAGCCTTAATCTTGTCTTTGGGGATCTGATGGAGTTATATCAGTTCACTCTCATCATGTTTAGTTTACCTACCTTGTTGGTGACTTCAAAAGAAAGACTGGGTTTACATTATTTGTCACCTATTAAAGAATTTGCCACTGTCATACGGACAGTTTGTGCACCGCTCTAAACAGTGCATTGCATATTTGCTTTGCAAAGATAAATGTCAGAATATGATAGCATCAAGGCTATTTTTGAGTCAGCTTCATCCCTTGTAATTGTTGGTTCTTATTTATGTTGTCTATGGTTAATCACATCCTAACCTCAGACTGGTCTGACAGGTTATATTTTACTTGCAAACACTTTCCCTCACAATCAAAAAGAAAATATGAAAACAAATCATTTCATGCTTTGTTCCTTACTGATCTGAAGCCAGGTTGTCAGGGACTGTTTGGAACAAATGATGGTCTCCTTCCAGTCAAAACTCTCTGCTTATCATGCTACAGCTTTTCGGGCTTCACCAGGTTGAAGATTGGCCATTTCACATCTACTGGCACGAAGCTGACACTATCAAATGTTTTCTCTTTTACTGTCTATACAGCCACATAATTTCTGCTACTCACAGACACACACCCTTGGCTTTATTAT